TCAACCGCCCGCAGCTGCCAGCGTGGCTGGGCTGATAGGGGATAGGAGACAGTGCGTCGAAGGGTGGGTGTGGTGTACGCAGAGAGGAGGGAGGGTGGGGCACCAAACATGCACGCAATCGGTAGTCATCAGGCAGGGATGCGCTGGGACACAGAGGGGTCGGGGGCTTTCAGTGCGGGGTCTGTCTCTCAGGAGCGGGGAAGTGCAAGCTAGGAGACGTGATCTGCTGGATGCCAGTCGGCTGCCGTCTACACCAGGCAGCAGGTCGCTGCCCAGTCCAGCACCATTGAGCGACTCTGTTGTAGCCTGGCAGGACGGAGGGCAGCCACCTACCATGCATACATCCGCTCCTCTCCACACTCAGGCTTGCCCAGGCGCAGGCGCAGCCAGCCGGCGAGCATTTTTAAGCCGTGCATGACGGTGGGCACTTGCTCTTTGTCCTTCCTCCTCCAGCACCTGCGGGGCGTGGGGAGAAGGCAGCCCAGCCTGCCTTCAACTGGCTGAGGTGCAGGCGACCATCAGCAACCCGCGGGCAGCTCACGGCGCCCGCGCTGTCCCGCGGAAGGCGAGCAGGCACGGCTGGTGGGAGAGCGACGTGTCACCCCACCTGCTTCCCTGCTGTTGCAGTGGTGAGGCGCCAGCCATCGCCATCGCATGCCGTCCCTCGAATCAAGCAGCCACAATCCGGCAGGTCTCGCGCTGCAGCCGGGAATGGAGCAGCCACCGACGTCTCTCACACAGCCGCGGCCGCCAGGCAGGGAGGAGATCATGGATTGTGGGAACGCTTGCACCACGAGGTTGCCAATAGGGCATGTGGCCGCTACATTCAATGGGATTCGCCAAAATGCAGGCAGGCCTCAGATACTTAGGAGTGCATTTGGCCATCCCAATGCGTGGCACGTACCGGCAGTGTGCGGCGGCCCCTCTGGCAGGCCGCAGGGCCTCAAAAACAGCAAAACGCCAATCCTGCACAAATGAGACGTGGGTGGCGCAAGCTGTGGAGCAGTCTGCTGCACATGCTGACATGCAGTACCTGTTTGCCGGTCTTCCCCCTCGGCTGGCACAAGGCCGGTGACAATGCATGGTCGTGTACTGCAGCGCGATGCGCCCCAGGAGGGCATCCTGAGCGCCCCAGCGCTTCAAACACAGTCTAATGCCAATCCTGCTGCACTTGGATGTGGGTGGCATGGGCTGTGGAGCAGGCTGGTGCCCGTTCTGGCAGGCAGTACCCAGAGTGCCTATTCACCTCCCATGCACGTAGCCTCTGCCCAGCCTATTTATTCGCCTCACTCCAGTCTCAGGCCACCTTTCTCCTCTTCCTGCCTCAGGACTCCCTCCTCTCCTTGCCTCCCAGCCATGAAGACCTTCTTTGTCGTCTGCCTGCTGGCCCTGGCGGCCACCCAGGTGAACTGCCTCCCTCCCTCCCTGCCTCCGCCAGCCCGGGCTGGACTCCACAAGACCCGCAGCCGGCCGCTTGCATTGGGAGCTGGCCGAAGCCGGCAGCCCGCAAGCACACCGGCCTCCCTCCCACCGACTGACGTGCCTGCCCTGTGCATGCAGGCCAGCGCTCGTCACCTGACCAACTACTACTTCTACCCCGTGGAGGGCCTGGTGGACACTGAGGGAGAGCTCTACCTGGACAACAACGGTGGGTCGCAGCTCTGCTGCACGTCCGCATCAGCTGCACGTCCGCATCAGCTGCACGTCCGCTGGTGCGGGGCCTTACTGCCATCCAGCAGGCACCGCCCTTTACAGACACTGCCGTTGGGCAGGCATCGCCCCTGCACGTAGCCTGAACTCGGTACAAATCCGCCCCTACGCACCCCAACACGTGCCTGGCCTGCCTGCAGCCGAGGGCGAGATCAACAACTACGGGCAGGTGGAGAAGGACAAGATCCTGGGAGCCACCGACCTCAAGCTCAAGTCCGGCCTCTTCGGCGAAGCCTCGGCAAGTGGTGCCGGCGGCTGGGCCAGGCACCTGCTTGCCGCAGCCAGCGTGCCCCTGCTGCCACTCCCTTGCCGTGTTGCTGCGTAGGCCCGCCAATCCCCTTGTTTGCCGATTGTCCTCAGCCTGCTTGTGCTTGCTGGCGCGCAGGGCAAGGGCAAGGTGGTGGCCGCCGGCAACAACTGGCCTGTCAGCGGCCTGGTGGTGACCAAGGTGGAGGGCTCCGTTGAGGACAGTGAGTGACCCCCTCCGCCTTCTCTGTCCCTGCTTGACAGCGGCTGGCACCGGGCACGCCGCCACAGCGGTCACGGCACCATGCGTTGCATGCTGCGCCTGGCGGCAGTCACCACTATGGCTGCCTGCCTGCCCGTCACGTCACCTCCCTGTGTGCAGAGGCCGAGGTGGAGGGCGAAGCCTTCAGCAAGATTTCCCCCGGTTCCATCGTGGGCTCCAGCAGCGTCAAGGGCAAGACCCAGTATCCCGGGGAGGCTCACGTAAGGGGCAGGCATCAGCTCAGCAGATTGCCGCATGCGCTCGGTGCCCTCTGCCCCACGGATGCACCTCCTGTATGCTAGCGCTGGCTGGTGCTCTCAGCAGGGCTGCTTGCAGCCTTGGCCGATTGCATCCCGCTGCTCGCTCAGCTCCATCGGCGCTGACCGGTGCCGCACATACTGCGGTGCTGCACGCTTGGCGATTTGACCAGAACCACGTGCCGCCGAGCTGCGGCCGCAGTTTCCGGCCCACGGTCTACGGTCGCAGCCACGGGACTCGGCGGCACGGCGTTTGGGCCCAAGCTTGCTGCCGCCGCCGCCGTGCCCGGGGGGCAGCGCGGCGGCGGCGGCACGCTGCGACGCCCCCGTGCTGCCGAGCTGCGGCCGTAGTTTCCTGCCAGAAGCCCACGGCCACAGCCACGGGACTCGGCGGCACGGCGTTTGGGTCCACGGCTTGCTGCCGCCGCCGTCGCAGGGGTGCTGCCTGCGGCGGCGGCGGCACGGCGTTTGGGTCCACGGCTTGCTGCCGCTGCCGCCGCCGCAGGGGTGCTGCCTGCGGCGGCGGCGGTAGCGCACGTGGCAACCCCCCGCGTTTCCTTGCCTCCCATCCACCGGACCCCGTCCTGCGCTTCACTTTGTTTAGGGAGGGGCTGCTCACTGCTCATTGCTCATTGCTCATCGCACACTGCTCAACGCTCATTGCCCTATATCCCACCCAGCCGCAGGACTCCACTGCCGCCCGCGCCCCGCCCCATCTGGCCGCTTGCGCGCCCCATCCCCCCTCGATGGGGCCCGCCCACACCGGGGCCTCCCCCCTCCCGCCCACTGCTTTCTCAACGGCCCCGAGCCGGGGCTGCCCTCATTGCATACATAGTGCGCCTTTCCCTGCTTTTCTAGTGACCTAGCGTTCCGCACTGCCGTTTGGCCAGCCCATGCTCCCGTACCGTTGCGTTTCTCCCCAATGCGCCATGCCACTTTGCCAGTCATACACACGTTTCGATGCGTGCCCTGTCAGCTGCTTGCGTTGCATGTCGCCTTGCTCCACCCCTGTTTTATTGCTTTCTCTGCTTTCGCCCGGTTCCCGTCCCGTTTCGGCGGGGAGTCTATGTTGCAAGCTAGTTCTTGCTTTACCAGACTTTAAGCCCACACAAGCAAAGGTGCAGATCAAGGCTGAGACCTTTGCCGACACCAACCCCTGAAAGGCGCGCCTGCGCGAGAGGCCTTGGCCCTTCCCAACCTGCTGAAGAAACTCCCCGATAACCTCAAGAGAAGAAAGACCAACCCGCGGGAACCCCATATGTTTTGAAACCCAAGCTGCACCGCATGCATGCATGCATGGCATCCAACACCTCAACCTGTTCATTATCCCAACCTGTTCATTACCCCCCCCCAATAAACCTTAGCGTTTCTTGCTGCCGAGCGGGCCCTGTAAAGGATGAGCCTGCCTTAGGTGCGCCTCTACCGCCGCGGCGCTGAGAACCCTCGACTGAGCCAGCGGGGCAGCCGCCTGCTGGAATGCCTTGCCGATGCGCCAGCAGTGGGCGTCAGAGCGGCCAGCGGCGGGAGGAAAGTGGTGTGGGCGTCGGGATGCAGGACAGGCCGCCGCCCAGCACCCACAGTGGCCTGCAGGCCAGGGGCGATGCAAGCTTGAGCTTGGGCAGGGTGCCTGTTTGTCTCCCCCTCTCCTCCTGCTCCACCTGCTCCACCACCAAACGGCGCCTCCATGGGAGAGGGGTAAGACAAGCAGCACAGAGCACAGCAGCACAGAGCACACCAGCACTCAGCTGTTGGCCTCTGTCAGCAGCTGGTCGTGGCTGGGCGGAGGCCGGCGGGGCGGAGGCTGGTCAACAGAGCGCAGATGTGCTCCTTGCCGCACGAGCATCTGCCCAGGCACAGCAGCCGACAAGGAAGTAGGATGGTGGGGCTCCCACGCCTCGCCCTCCTCATCGAACACCTGCAGGCCGTTGCGTAACAGCCAGGGGTTGGCGAGGCGCAGGCGGCACCTGCAGCCCACCAGGGAGCGCCTGGGGTTAGCGAGGGCTTCAGGTCACGGCGCTAAACCCAGCGGCGGCAGAAAGCTGCTGCGCTGCTGGTGCCATCGCGGCCAGTGGAAGGCGAGCAGGCACAGCTGCCGAGGGAGCACAGTCCCGCCCCTTCCGTCACATTATCCGTCACCTTATCGGCAATGAGTCTTGCAGCGGTGATTGCTAAGCTGGCTCTGATCAGAGGCAGGGCACTGGGGAAGCTACCGTGGCAGACCGGCGGCGCCGCGGTGGTTTGCCCCACCGCCCCCCAACCCTGCCTGCCACCCAGCGCGCTGATTATCAAGCCATGATGGATAGGTGTTCCCCAAGATGATAAGTGTATGCCAACATGTAAGTTTGCTGTGGTTTGTTGGAAGACAGGAGAGGTTGAGATCAGGCGCCATGGCCAAGTGCCGCCGCATCAACCCTGGGTGGAAAGCAGGAAAGAGGCCTTGTCAGAGACCAGGGGGCCATCCCAGCATCTCTCCCCTCTCTTCCTCTCGTTGGTGTCAACAGCGTGTGTGTGCAGTCGATCCAGTCATGAAGACCGTGCTGGCAGCCTGCCTGCTGGCCCTGGTGGCCACCGGTGAGTTGCACCCTGCGCCGGGCAGCCTTGGACTGCGTCTGCACTGCAGCTCAGGGCCCCACATGGCTGTTGCACGGCTCGCTGGGCGCCCAGGGGCGCTCGAGCTCTTCCACCAGAGTCCTGTCCAGGACGCGTTTGGCCTCCTCACCACACGAAGGGGCCCACAATGGCATCCTGGGCCGCCCAGTCACGCTCAGGGAGGCCTCACCAGCCCGTGCCCTGCCGTCTGACTGTCGTGTGCTGCCGCGCATGGGCGCTGCCCGTCCCGCTGGCGCACGCAGGAGTGGGCGCCCGCCAGCTGACTGGCCAACCAAGCGTGGGCGGATTTGTGGACACCGATGCCAGCTCCTGGAGCAACGGGCGTAAGTGGGGCGGGGGCCCCTGCGCTGGGGCGCGGCCTGCTTTGCCGTGCATGTGCGCGCCTGCCGCCGCCGCTGCCATGCATCCAATGTCGCCTAGGTTGCCTCCCGCCGTCCTTACCCGCCCCTGCCTGCGCCCCGCAGCCGCCAGCAGCGCCGGTAAGGCCTGGGGCGAGGTTGATGCCAGCGGCGCCAGCGCCGGCAGCAAGGCGCTCTCATGGGCGGGCGAGGGCGGCTCCTCCGCGGTGGGTGCCCAGCAGGCCTCTGCAGCTCAGCTTCTCAAGAACCTTGCCTTTGAGGGGCAAGGTTTCATCCGCAGGGCAGCGTGAAGGCCAGGGCCTGCCCCAAGCTGCTGCCTGCAATGCACTCTGAGGATGCACCAAGACCAGGCCACTGATCTGCTCTCCCTCAGCCGACTGCCTGTCTGTGCGCCCGCACCCCTCGCTCCTACAGGCCGACGCCAGCTCGACCGCCGTCAAGCTGGGCTCCGGCGGCGGCCAGGGCACTGTGGACACCTCCGCCGAAACTGCCGCCCAGAACAGTAAGCGGGGCTGGCGTGCTGCTGCTCCCCAGCACTGCCGGATTGGGTTCGGCCGGGCGCACCTGTCCCCTTGTCCTCGGCGCCTCCGGCGCCGGGCGGCGGGCATGTGCGAGCCCCTCCCAGCCCCTCGCCCAAGCCGCACCCTTCTGCGCTGCGCGTGTGCTCTCCGCCCACCCCATCCCTCCTTGCAGACGGCAACGCCTTCGCTTCGGGCAAGGGCAGCGTCACCCCCAGCCTGCTGAGCGCCGAGAGTGTGGCCAAGTCCTCCTCCGGCCAGGGCGGGTCCGCCTCGGTGGGTGGCGGCAGCTGGCTCCGGCTGCGGCAGCAGGGCCTGTCCTGCCTGTTGTTCTACTGCTTCATCCCTCCTTGCTCGAACAACAAAGTCTGTGCTGCAAGCTTGTTCTTGCTGAAACCAGACTGTAAGCCCACACAAGCCAAGCAGGGCAGGCACGCCCACTGGAGAGCCAAACAACTCGCCTGCCCACAACCCTGAACGCCTGCCGCCTTGCTGCCTGCCCCTCCCGCAGGCTTCTGCCAGCGCCGATGTCAGCTCCTCCGGCGGTAAGGACCACCCCAAGCCCCAGCCGCCCAAGAAGCACCCCAAGCCGCAGCCGCCGAATAAGGAGCCCAAGCCGCAGCCGCCGAAGAAGGAGCCCAAGCCGCAGCCGCCGAAGAAGCCTGAGGAGCCCGAGAAGCCTGAGAAGCCCCGCCCAGTGCCTGTCAAGCCCGTCAAGAAGCACCCCAAGATTGTCATCGTCAAGCCAACCCCCGAGGAGGCTCCTGAGGAAGCTCCTGTGGAGGTGACCCTCAAGGCCGCTCAGGAGAAGGAGGAGGAGGTCGGTAGCTGCATGGCTGCCTGTGCGTGCGTGTGAGCATGCGTGTAGGTTTTGGGCGACACCAGCTCGCTTGCTGTGCCTGCCGTTCCCTCACAGCCCGCCTCCTCAACCCTCGACACCTGCTCCCTGCGCCTTCCCCTGCTGCCGACCTCTGCTGCCGCCCCCTGGTCCTGCCTGCAGATCCCCGAGTGCACCGACGGCGTGCTGGATGTGTGCTGCCCGCTGCCGGTGACGTGCGACAAGAAGGGGAACCTCAACACAGTGTGCAAGGTGACGGGGCAGCGGCGGCCTGCCTGCTTCCAGGCTGGAAGCGACGCCACACGTGCCACCGGGCATCACAGGCACCCATGCCCCGCTTACGCCCCGCCTGAGCGCCGCCCTGCTACTATCTCCCTCGAGCGCTCGTTCGCTACTGCCAGCCCGCCCCAAAAATGCATGTCACCCCTCTGCCAGCTCATCCCTGCCGCGCCTGCGCCCCGCTGCTCCTCACCTACTGTGCTCCCCACCCACCGCCTGCCCTCCTGTTCAGTTCAAGGTGGTGCCCGTGCCCACCGACGCCACCGCCTCCGCTGCCGCCGACGCCACCGCCTCCGCTGCCGCCGACGCCACCGCCGGCGCCGCGGGCGCCGCCTACGGCACCCAGGCCGCCGCCCCTGCCAACGGCGCCCCCGCCGTCACCGGCTACTCTGGCCCAGCTGACTCCTCTGGTGCCAGCGGCTGCGGCTCCGCCGCCAACGGCGACGCCACCAGCAACGGAGGTGCTACCAGCTATGGTGATGCCACCAGCAGCGGAGAAGCCACCACCACCGGCTGCCCCACGTGAGCGGCGAGGGCCAGCCTGAAAGCTTTGCCCTGGCCACACCCAACGCGTTGTTCGCCCTCCGGAGAGTGCTGATCCGCACTGTGCCCTGCGCCCTGCCTCCCCCGCCCGCCATCCTGGCGCCGCTGCATCCGCACAAAAAAACTCAAGCATCTGCCCTCTCCTTTCTTTCTTCTGCCTGCAGCGAGGCAGAGCCCGTCACTGAGGTCTACTACCTCGCCTCCTACCCGCCCAAGGTCTGGACCGATGGCAAGGTGAGGCGGCAGGCCTTGTGCTGCGCCGGCTGGGCCTCGGGCAGGGCGTGCCCGCCCACTGCTACCTGCCCGAGCAGCCTTTCCAGGGCGGCACTCAAAACACCTGTGCAGCCCCAACTAGGTAGTGGCTGCTTCTGCTGCCCGCTCCTCCGCCGAGCCCCCGACCTCTTTCATCCTGTCTTGTCGCTGACCGCTGGCACGCCCACTCCTCACCTGCCCGCACCCCTGCAGGGCTTTGAGTGTGTGTGCCCCGAGGTTAAGTGCCCTGCCGAAGAGGAGTGCCCCGCTGAGGAGCCTGTGGTGGAGGAGGAGCCCGCTGCACTGCCCGTCCCCACGCCCATCATCATCATCAAGAAGAAGAAGGTAAAGCCGCCGGCCCCGGAGCCCCCTGCCCCCAAGCCCAAGCCCACCGCCGCCGAGGCCGAAGCCGCCGCCTCATCCAGCGGGGGCGCTTCCAGCGCCGAGGCTCAGGCTGCCGCCGCGGCGGCTGCCAACGCCAAGAAGGTATGCAGCAGGCTGGCTGGGATGCGAGTACCCATGCTCCATCTCCCCTGCACACACCAACAAGCGCCTCCGGTCCTGCCTGCTCTTCCAGGCCAGCGCTGAGGCGGAGGCTGCAGCCTCAGCGGCTGCCAGCGGGAAGAACGCTGCCGCCGAGGTGAGCTGCGCTCCTTTCCTGGGGTTGACTTGGGGACAGGGCAGCTGTCGAAGGTGCACTGACAACAAGCTGGCTCGAGCCTGACTGGCTGCTGCTGCCTGCCTGCCTGCCTCCCGCTTGTAAGCATGCAGGCCGAGGCCGCTGCCAAGGTGAGCCACACGTCTCGCTGTGCCTGCTGATCTCCCTTGTTCGTTGGATTGCGTTTCGGTGGCCATGCACTGCTGTGCCGGCACCCGGAGCAGCTGATGCCCACCAATGTTTTATCGCCTGAATGCCTCCTTCAATCCCCGCAGGCAGCGGCTTCCGCCAAGAAGGAGGCCGAGGCCGCCGCCGAGGCTGAGGCGAAGGCCAAGTCTTCCAGCAACGGTGGCAAGAGCTCCTCCTCCTCGTCCGCAAGCGCCAAGGCCTCTGCGGGCGGCGGCGGCAAGTGAACGGCCGGCCAGTTGGTTGGTGGTGCTGCTGGGCGCCTGTATAGCCAGCGTTGAACAATGGGATGCATCAAGACACCAATCAAGACCGAACCACCCTTTCCTTTCCTTGACTCTAGCGACCCCTAGAGTCCCTGAACCCCTTGAACCACCAGATCTGTCCTCACGATTCCACTGCGCCCCCATTTGAATCCGTTGATGCATGCCCTTCCCTGAGAGTGCATCCCTGAGATCTCTGATTGCTCCCTGGATCCGTCGATGCACTACTATCCCCTGAAAAGATTGCCTTGCACAAGTGTAAGCAGCAGAGAAAGGTTCAGAGTACAAGCGGTCTGCGCCTCACCGCGCCAGTGTTTCTGGCCCTCGTGGCAGCTTTGGCGATGGGCGGGCGATGAGGACTGCTGTCGCGTCCAAATTTCGCCAATCAGCTGGCGATGGCACATTGAGGATTGGCGAAATGCGGGGGAGCCACCCTTGCGCCTGGCACAGCGCAGCGGCCACATGCGGCGCCGCTGTTGCTTTGTCGGCACTTGCCTCCCTTTTGGGGGACTGGGGGCGAAGCCCCCAGCAAGCTGGAGCTTGTTTAACACTATGGAGTGAAGTTCCTGAGGAAAATTGGCCATTTCTCCTCAAAATATTGGCGATGTCAGTCATGGGGGCTGGCGACGCGCTGGCGATGTCGCCCCGCCGCCTGCCCTCATTTAGCCAGCCCTGGCTGGCGATGGCCTTCGGCCAATCAGAGCCGTTTTTTGGCCCGATTTCGCCAGCATTTGGCGATTTCGCCAGCTTTCAGAAACACTGCACCGCGCCCTGCCGCTGCCACGTGGGCGCGTGCCGCCGCCAGGTTGGGACGATGAAGCGGCCGGGCGGGAAAGGCGGGTGGGGTGGGTTGGTTGTCTCCACAGGCCTGCAGGCCTTTGCTTCGTCGATTTGATGGGGTGTGCGGCATCACGAGGTCGGTGGGTCACGAGGAACAGCGGTTAGCGTGCCCATCGCTTGCCACTGCACGCAGGGAGCTGCGGGTTGAGATTGAGAGCCTGCGCCAGAGCGTGTCGCGAGCCAGAGGGTCGCGCGGAGCTCACAGCCCACTGCCGCCGCCGCCCCGCCTTGTGTCCAACCTGCGCCCCTTGCCTCCTGCTCCCTGCAGAGCAGCAACCGCGGCACCCGCTGCCGGGGGTGGGCACCCCGGTCCAGGCCGGCCCTGCCCGCTGCAAGCTGGTGCTGCTGGGGGACAGCGGCGTGGGCAAGAGCTGCATCGTGCAGGTGTGGCCGCTGCGGCATGGCACAGGCCCAAGTGCGGCACGGCAGTTGGGGCCATGTGTGGGTGATGCCTTGTGGCCCGCCTGCCATGCAGCCATGCAGCTCGTCTGCCTGTCCCCTCCTGAACCCTTCGTCATGACCGCCCCTCCCCGATGCCTGGCGCAGCGGCAATGCCGGGGCACGTTCAACCCCGCCAGCTCGGCGACAGTAGGGGCGGCCTTCCTGGCGCACACGCTGGCGTTGCCGTCCGGGCAGTGCATCAAATTTGAGATTTGGTGAGCTGCAGAGCAGGGGGAAATGGGGCAGTGCTTGAGGCAGGCAGCAGGAGCAGGGGCAAGCACGCATGGGCACCGCCGGGGCGGGCCGCCCAGCCTGCCTTCCTCCATGCCTTCCCCGTCACGCGCCTGCCTGCCTGGTGCAGGGACACGGCGGGCCAGGAGCGGTACGAATCCCTGGCTCCGCTTTATTACAGAGGGGCCACCGCCGCGGCAGTTGTGTACGATGTGGGCAGCGAGCGCAGCTTCCGGCGGGCGGCGCACTGGGTGGCTGAGCTGGCACGCAATTCTGCGGGCACGCCGCTGCTGGTGCTGGTGGGCAACAAGAGCGACCTGGCGCAGGAGGAGCGGGCGGTGGGCGGCGAGGAGGCGGCGGCGCTGGCGGAGAGGTGCGCCCCACGCAGCGCAGCGCAGCGCACGCAGCGCTGCCACATGGCAGGAGCGGTGCCGCGCGCTGTGGTTGGCTTTGGCGCACGCTGGCCGCCGCTTGCCCAACGCAGCTAGGCAGGTTGCCTGAGCACCCTGGCGTGCGATCCCTTCACCCCCTGATGCCCTCCCCCCACATGCTGATGCCATGCCTGCCACCGCAGCAACGGGATGCTGCACATTGAGACGTCTGCCAAGACGGGCAGCAACGTGGCGGCCCTGTTTGAGCTGATTGCAGAGCACGTTGCGGCGCCGGCGGCACCAGTGGTCCCCATCCCTGCAAACTGACTTGATCTGCTCACGATTCCTACCTCCTCCTCCCCGCTGACTGTGCTGCCCTCTGCACCGTTACCCCTTGTATGCTATTCGTCAGTTGAGGCACTTGATTTTTTCCTGGACTGTGCACAGCCCCCGCAGTTTTCGCACTGTATGCCTTGCACCCTTAAATTAGATCAGCTGTCGCCCGTACATCCGCAGGCGGCCCATGTTGCAAAAGCAAAACACTCTTGGCAGTTACTATATGAAATGAAGGTGGTTAGACGGGAGGGACAAGAAGAATGAAAGTTTGCAGTACTCGCTCAAAAGCTACGTTTCGAGGTCGTGGCAGCGCAGGGTCTGGGCCATTGGTAGCGGCGCCCGTGTGCGGCTGCACAGGCTCCCCTCCCTTCCTCGCCTGTTCACGAGGGACACCGGGGCAGCATCTGCAGCTGCTGCAGCGCGGAGGGCAGCTCCAGGACGCTGCTGAGCACGGCGGCCGCCTGCAGCCCCGTCGGCAGCGGCCGCTCGCCGTTGCGGTTGATCCAGATGGCTCCCGCCAGCCCCGACTGCAGCGCCCCGTTGATGTCGGCAATCAGGCTGTCCCCCACATGCACCGCCTCCTCCGGCAGGCAGCCCACCAGGCCGCAAGCCCTGCACACCAGCGCCAGCGGCGGCGGCGGAAGCGGGGCGCGTCGGCGTGCATCCAGGCCGGCAAGCTCAGCTGCACCATCACAACAAACATGCAGCGTGCAGGCACGGGCGCCGCCGCCGTGTGCCCGACCGGCTGCCAATGGCTGTGCCTGGCTGGCCGGCTCACTTGTGGAAGATGGCGGGGTGGGGCTTTTCGTAGCCGCAGCCCACCGCCACCTCCTCGCCGCCCACCAGCATGTGCTGGAAGAGGCGGCCCGCCTGGCACGCCTCCAGCTTGTGCCGCTGCACCATGCGGTGTCCGTTAGTGATGATGGCTGTGGCCAGGCCGCAGCCCTGCAGCCCCGCCACCATCTCCTCCACGCCCCGCACAAAGCGGAAGTGCTCCAGCCGCGTGCTGCTGAAGCAGTGCTGCAGGCGCGCGGCGGCGGCCGCGTCGTCGCGCCCCTGCCGCGCCATGGCCTGCCGCCACAGCTGCGCCCGCCACGCCTCCACCTCCACCTGCGCCAGCCGGGTTGGGTGAGGCAGCGCCTGGGAATGGTTGCGCCTGTGCAGCCAACGTGCAGCAGCCGGGAGCCGGCCAGGTGCCAGTCAGCTTGGGCAATGGTGGGGGGGATGCAGGCGTGCAGGCATGCAGGCAGGCAAGGCAGGTGGTGAGGGGAATGTAGCGACTCGTATACTCTATTCTGCCAGGGGCTAGAGGCAGAAAAACCTGATGGAGCCCAGAGTGGTTTGCTGTTGCGAGCGGCGCGCCCCGGGCGGCAAGGGCACGGTGGTGAGCGCTGGCGCCCGCCCTGCCACCGGTTGGCACGCGGGGCACGGCTCGCTGCTTGCGATGCATGCGGCATGGCATGTGCAGCGCACGCACAGAGAAAGAACCATGCGGGGCTGGCAGTAACTACACTAGCACCAGTCCGGAGGAGTGACACGCTTGCTGCAGGGCCCCCCACCTTGCCCTCGGGGCACCAGGGGCTGGCGTGGAAGAGCGGGCGCCAGTCGTTGACCAGCTGCCGCCCGCTGACCCCCGGCAGCAGCTCCTCTGCCAGCGCCGCCACCCGGCTGAAGGCCGCCTTGTCGGCATCCTCCGTCAGCACCAGCGTGTCGTCCAGGTCTGCGGAAGAAGAAGAAGAAAGAAAATGTCGACACAGGAGGAGAAGTGGTGGGCAGCGGGCGGGACAGGATGGCTGGATGGGGGCGCAACGGTGTGGTCGTGTGAAGCCCTGGTGGGCACGTAGCAGCGATGCTCACCAAAAAATATAGCTTTGATGGGGCTCATGGCTGCCGGCAGGGCAGTTGAGGCCTTCTGGGGCGATGGGCGACGTGCGGTGGCGGGCGGCGGCGCCGACGGCAAGGCGCTGGGGGTGGGATCCAACAGCGCGGCTGCGCACTGGGCGGGCCCCTGGCAGCCAGCCGCAGCTCAGTGGGCCTCAGGGAGGCGCGGAAGAGGCCACAGAGCAGAGTGGATGATTCAAAACTCGGTGCGGCGCCAGACAAAGCAATCTCCAGCCTTCCCCCGCCTGTATGCATGCATGCACAGGATCCAACGCCTCGAACGGCTCTCCACATGTACTGCGAGCGCCAGCTGGTTGTACGGCGTGCATGCTGGCACCTGGCAATCGTGCTGGAACATGAACATGGAGACAAAGCCGCACAGTCACACAAGCTATTGGCGCGGGAATGGGCATTTTCGGAAGGTGCGAGTATGCCGCGTTTGGGGTGGTCTCCCCCCGCTCTCGGGGTGGCGTCGGTGCCTGTCTTGGGCACTGGCACGCCGTGCGCCTCGATCCCTACTTTGCGCACTCACCCGCCTCGTCAGGCGTCCTGGGCCGTGATGCTCTGCGTCTGCTGCGCCTGATCGGCGTCGATCAGTAGCGCACAGCACAGTCTGAAGGCAGGCAGTGCCCTGCCTGCGTTTGCGAACAAGGCCCCTGGGGGTGCGGGACACGGCCAGGTGGCGCAACAGCATGTCCCGCGCCACGCCGCCGCCGCTCCTCCCACCCACCCCTCGGGCTTTGGCTTAGGAAGCTCACGGGTGTACCAGCGTTGGCAGTGTGTCAGCGTCATGTCATGTGGCTATGTGGGCTGCTTGCGCTGCCCTTGCAGGAAGAAGCAAGCGACCGAGGCGTCTGCTGCCCCCGCCCCCGCTGTCGCCGCCGCCACCAACGGCAAAATGCCCTACCCCAAGGTCGCCGAGAACATCTCGCAGCTGATTGGTGAGTGAGGCAGGGGCAAGCAAGCAACGCAGGCTAGGGTACGGGAGCGATTCTGCTCCCGTGGGCAGCAGCAGCACCAAGGACGCTGGGAGGGGGCGCCCGGGTCGCGGCTTCAGCGCCAGCGCTGTGCCGCTGGCGCTTGCGCTGGCAGTGCCCGGGCAGGCTGCAGGGGGCGCTCTGTGTCCCAACCCCGGAGTCAGCTGGCTGCGCTGCCAATGTGTGGCGCCCTTCCCTGCCGGCCGTCCCTCGCGGCCATCTCCCTGCCTGCCCCGCCCTCGCAACCCCTGCCGCCGCCACCACACCCACCCCTGCAGGCAACACCCCGCTGCTGAAGCTCACCAAGGTCACCAATGGCGCTGGCGGCACGGTGCTGGCCAAGCTGGAGTCTCTGGAGCCGTGTTCCAGCGTCAAGGACAGGTGGGGGCTGCTGCTTTGGCTGCTTTGGCTGCTGCTGCGCTGCTGCTGTTACGGCAAGGGGCTGGCGGCGGCATGGCCGAGAGCAGCTGCTCAGTCAGCCTTCCGGGTCGTGAGCCGTGGCCGCTGCGCCGCAGCATGTGCTGCACAGCCACGCAATGCTGCCAGCTGGCTGGCAGGCAGGCGAGGCAGCGGCCGTGGTGCGCCCGTGCAGGATCGGGCTGGCCATGATTGAGGATGCGGAGAGGAAGGGGCTCATCACCCCGGGCAAGGTGCGGAAGCGCTTAAGCAGGCCGCCTGTGGGCGCCCCGCGCTCCCATCCTCCCCGCTCCCCGCGCCCCGACCCTGCTTGTTTTCGTTTGCAGGCTTGCGCTTGCTTTGCACCAGCCTCATCGCCCCGCTGCCCGCTGCCCGCAGACCACGCTGGTGGAGCCGACCAGCGGCAACACCGGCATCGCGCTGGCCTTCATCGCCGCCGCCAAGGGCTACAAGCTCATCCTCACCATGCCCGCCTCCATGTCCCTGGAGCGCCGCATCATGCTCAAGGCCTTTGGCGCCACCCTGGTGCTCACTGACCCGGCCAAGGGTGAGGCTGGGGCGGGGCTGGGGTGGGGCTGGTGAGAATGGGAGCATGGGAGAAGTGGCCCGCTTGGTGGGAGAAGCCTCCACTGTGCCGGGCGGCTGCATGGCTTCTTGTGGATGGGGCGAAGCCCAGGCTGGGTGGATGGGGCGAACGACGCAGGCTGGCCCTGACGCGGCTGCCTGCCCCATCTGTCACGGCTGCACAGGCATGAAGGCTGCGATCGCCAAGGCGGAGCAGATTGCGGCGGACACACCCGACTCGTTCATCCCGCAGCAGTTTGAGAACCCGTGAGTGGCGGCGGGCTGGGGGGGTGGGCGGCTTGGGAGCCGCTGTGCTCGGTGTTGACAGCTCAGCTTGGAGAGGGGCAAGGGAAGGCCCGCTGTCAACACTCGGGGCAATGGCGGGGCGGGGCAGCTTGAGAGAGCCGTTGTACTGCTGGTGGTGGGGAGATGGTACCAGGTGTGCCAGAATTGCCAGGCTGACCCCGCCCGGCCCCCTGCCTTCTCGCCTCCCCGTGCAGCGCCAACCCCAAGGTGCGAGCGAGGCGGCAGAGGGTGCCCCTGCCCCTGTGCCGCTCCTGCATGCGCGCTCCTGGCTGCAGACCGGCGGCCGTGCCGGGCTGCCGGCTGCCCAGGCCGCCAGCCTGCTGTGCAGAGCTGAGCCGGCCAGCACCGCCGCTGCTGCCGCCGCCGACCGCCCCTTGCCGCTGTCGTCCCGCGCCGCCGCTGCCGCAGGTGCACTACGACACCACCGGCCCCGAGATCTGGGGCTCCACTGGCGGCTCTGTGGACATCCTGGTGGGAGGTGGGTGGCTGGGGTGCAGTGCCCGGGCTTGGCAGGGTGCAGGGAGGGTGCAGGATGGGCAGTTGTTGGTAGGGGCCCGCGTGGCGGCAGGGTTGGGCAGGCTGGGCCGCAGTGCCTGCGTGCACGGGAGGGCCGCTGGCCAGGCGCTCGGGCGCTGGGCCCATGCCCCGCACGACCACGGCACGCTGTGCGCGCTGTGCATGTGTCGCCGCTGACTGCCGGGGCGTGCGCAAGGGTGATCCGCTTCCCGCTGGGCCGGGGCGTGGCGCAGGCGTGGGTACTGGCGGTACCATCTCCGGCGCCGGCAAGTTCCTCAAGGAGCAGAAGGCGGGGCTGCAGGTGCGCCGCCGCAGCGCCGGTCCCGGCCAGCGCGGCTCCCGCCGCCGCCGAGCCGGCCAGCAAGCGCAGGGAGGGCTCCATCCCGCGCCGGCCTGCCGACATAACACTCCCTGAGAGGCTCCTCTTCCTCCATTCCTCCGTCTCCAGCTTTTTGTTTTTTTGTGCTGCTGCCCCACGCCCGGGCACCCGCTCCCACGCACCCACTCCCACGCACACGTGCACACGCACACGCCCTGCCCCGCCCATGCCCCCCCCACCCCCACCCCGCCCCCCTCAGGTGATTGCCGTGGAGCCCACCGAGTCCCCCGTCATCTCCGGCGGCAACCCGGGCCCACACAAGATCCAGGGCATCGGCGCCGGCTTCGTGCCCAAGAACCTCGACGTGCCGCTGCTGGACGGCGTGGTGCAGGCGCGCCGCGGCGCCGCCGAGCGCGGCCGGCCGAGCTCGCCGGGCCGGCTGCGCGCCTGCCGTGCTTGCCGTCGCACAGTGTGGCTGCTGCGGATCCCTCCTTTCTTGCCGCACGCCGCTGCCTGCCTTGCCTGCACACACGGCCACACCAGCTTGCAGACCCACACACCACCAGCATCCCCATCACCCCTGCCCTGCCGCAGGTCAGCTCGGATGAGGCGATCGCCATGGCTCGGCGGCTGGCGGTGGAGGAGGGCGTGATGGTGGGCATCAGCTCCGGCGCCGCCGTCAAGGCGGCCGTGGAGGTGGCCAGCCGCCCCGAGAACGAGGGCAAGACCATCGTGAGCGGCGGCGCTGCCTGCACCACGGCCCCCCTTGCGGTGCTTGCATGCTGTTCCCTTGCCGCAGCCGGCGGCAACGCCCGTGGCATCTGCCTGCCACAGACTGCCCCCTTCCCCTTGCCCCTCAACTCGCCTGCGTGCTCCGCATTGCGTTGCACAGCGCCAGCCGGCCGGGTGCCATGCATGCGCCGGCTGTTGCGCGTTGGGGGCCTCACAGCTGCTGACGCGCCCTTGCCCGCTTCCCCTGCAGGTGGTCATCATTCCTTCCTTTGGGGAGCGCTACCTCTCCTCTGTGCTGTTCCAGAGCATCCGGGAGGAGGCTGAGGCGCAGACCTTTGAGGCCTGAGGCCCGTGGTTGCGGCCAGGCTGGCGGGTGCGCTGCGGGCAGCGAGGCCCTCTCCGCCGCAATGTGGGTGCCCTTTTTGTTTGGTGGACGACCCCTGTGGACTGCCGTTTTTTCTCCCCATCAGTGTGTTTTTCTGTTGTTTCCATCCATCGACTAAAGAACAGGCCGATACCTTCATTGATCCCTCCCCGCTGTAAAGGAACCCCTCCTTTGACAAGTCACAGCGGCGGGAGTCGGTTTGGTGGATGGCGCTATCGCCCATTGCGCCCACTATGCCTGTTGTGTAACAGTTGAGTCAATGCAAGACACAGAACTGATAATATCTCTCGCCACTTGGGCCTAGGCAAGGATGGGGCGAGGCCCAGGGCTGGCTGGGTGGTGGGTGTCGGGGGCTAGGGCGCCTGGCGCCGCCAGCCTGTCGCCGTGGCGGCCCCATGTTAGAGTGCGATGCCCATTGCCCCACACAGCACCCACAACACACGAACACCGCACAGCCGCCTTCGCAAGCAGGCTTCTTCCCGCAGGGCGCCCACCCGATTGTGACCCCACGCTTGGTGGAGGCCTGCCAGGCGATTGATACAGGCGCATCAAGTATATAGGTGCGCGCTGGGGCTCGTCAGCTTGCTGTGCAGCCGACCCGAGACCCTGCCTTTGAGGGCGCTCCCGTGGGCCCCCGCCGCGCAGGTTGCGACCAAAGCGCCGGAGAGAAAAGAAGAGCACGGTACCCAGTGAGGGATAGGGCCATGGCAACGGAACAACCACCGGCGGCGGCGGGCGGAGACCACGTAGCGGCTGATGGGCCGCTCGCGGCAGAGCCTGCTGCTCCGCTAGCGGTGGGCGACGCGGCAGCGCAGCAGCCGGGCGCAGCGCATCAGGCGGCAGCCCCGCCGCAGATGCCCTCGCAGCGCATGCTGCTGCCGTCTCCATTTGAGAGCACGGCAGGACTGCCACCGCTGGCGGTGGGAGCACCTGCCGGCGCAGATGCAGCAGTAGCCAACGGCAGGCGGCGGAGCCCCAAGGGGCTGGCGCCCTCCAAGTCAGCGCTGAAGGTTAGGTATGACGCATCGTTGGAGCCACAAGGGAGCAAGACGATGAAGCAAGCCCTCAGTTGGGCCGACACGCACGGCAAGGTGGGCACGCCTTTTCGCTCGTCAGGGCTGACCCGGGCTGTGTTGTTTGGGCGCGGCAGCCGCGGGGGCCCCCATCGCATCCTCCGTTCAAGCTGCGCCGCTTGATGTCGCCATCACCGCCCCACCCTTGCTGGTGTGCGCTCCTGGCTGGCTGCTGTGCAGAACATCCAGCACGTGCACGAGTACCAGCCCTCCGAGCATGGCGACGAGGGGGTCAGCAAAGGCTGCCAGTGCTGTGTCCAGTGATGGCACCGCTGCGCTCCTGAGGGGCCACACCCCGCAGCCTCGCCTGCCCGCTCCGCCCTGGCATGCCCTGGCATGCCTTGCTGGTGGACGGCGGTTGTACCCCACGCTGCAGCTGTCAACCCATTCTTTGTGCTCCTGCACTCGTCTACCTGCTGCTTATTGCCACCCAACCAGCACTTGTGCACACACACATTCCAGCGCAAGCCACATGCTTGCTTTCTTCTCGACCCAGTTTTTTCTTTGTCTGTCCCTGGATCCGTGACTGTTGACTGTGACCCCCGCTGTTTACCGCTTGCCCGCTTGCTTCTCGCGCATAATAATGTCACATGCAAGAGTGTGGAGGCAGCGCATTACAGCTGCCCATCAGCTCAGGCAGCTGTGCGGGACGGCAGCTGTGCGGGACGGCAGAGGAAAGGGCCAGGGCAATGCAGCAGGACCAGGTACTGTAGAGTTCAGGGAAGTGGGAGCGAGGTAGAGGTACTGGAGCAGTAAGGGGGAAGTGGAGCGACATACAGGACAAGGCGGATGCTGGGCAAGACAAAAAGAAAGGAAAGTGTAGGTGTGTGAAAAGAAAACTGGGACTGGACAGTCGTCATGAATTGGGCCAGGAGGAATGTGTGGTGTTGCAACTGAGTGGCAAAGTGGTAAGAACGGGTAAACGTGATATGATCCCGCAGGGAAGGCAAGGCCCAGGCTGTTGCGGCATGCGTTGAGTCAGTGGCATCGCGAAGGGCGGCGGCTCCAGACGTTGCGTCAGCGGGCGCCGCGACTCGAGGCTGGCGCCAGGCATTCATGATGGTACAGGGCTTTGTTGGTTTGGCTGGCAACGTCCCCCGCGGATACCTCCAGGCCAGGCGATGGGACTGGCTACTGTGCTCCCCCCGGGGTGCGTTGCGGGGCGTGCCGGGCAGGGCTGGCCAGCCGAAGGGTCACAGGTTGGTGGGCAGGGCCAGCGCCGACTTCATGTAGTCGTAGATGGTGAAGCCAATGGCGGTGGAGGGGACCACCTGCGCAGATGGGTGGGGCAGCTTGGATTTGAAAGAAAAAAGAAAAAACGAACCGGTGGCGGGGCAGCAGAGCGGCAACGCTCGGCAGCCAGGCGACGCGGCGGTCTGGCGTGCGGCGCAACGAGGGGCTCGCGCTGCCTCGGCAGGCGTCCCCCGCACAGGCAGCGGCGGGCAGCAGTCCCCTGCCACCCCCACCTTGAGGTAATTGATGCTGAGCCCCGCAAACAGGCAGCGCCAGCCGTGGCGCTGCGCCAGCAGCGCCAGCGCCTGCGGCGTGGACCGCAGGCTCAGCGCCTGCGTGCCTGCCGACAGCTGGGCGGTGGGCGAGTTGGCGGCCGCCTCCTGCAGCTTCAACCCCTCCACCTGCGGTGGCGGCGGCAGCAGCAGTAGGCAGGCAGACGGGGAGGATGAGCGGCAGCCACAGCAGCAGGGCGCTGACAGGAGGATGAGCAGCGCGATGGAAGCTCGAAACAAGCGGCGGCAGCTTGGACCGACGGCGAGCATGCAGTACGGGAGCTGCTCCAGAATGCGCTCCGCAGCGAGCCGGCCAACCAGCCTCCTGCTCCCACCTGCATCTGCCGCCGCACCACATCCAGCGGATAGGTGGCCGTCTGCGCCACCAGCCCCGCCACCGCGCCAAACGACAGCATCACCGGCACCGGCAGGCGCGGCTTGCCGTCCACGCCCGTCCGCGCCACCTCGCCACGGTGGGTGTGGTGGTGCCACTGCAGGCATGAGCGGCGGCGGCGAGGTGACACGGCGATCATTTCTTTCGGTTGAAAAGTGCCTGGGGAGACACCAAACAGCGGCATGCCGCGCCACCACATGTGCCGCGCGACCCGCCACACCAGCCAGAGCCAGCCAGCCACAGCACCGCTGCATCAGCCTCGCATGGCCTCCAGCGCAGCTGCGCAAACGTGGCTGCCGGCTGGGCCCGCCCCCGCCCCGCCGCATCCCCTTGCCTGCTTGAGATGCTGGTAGCAATAGAACTTGAGGCCGGCGTAGGGCAGGATACCATACATGGAGGCGCCCACGCCGTGGTACAGCCCCCGCAGGCCCTCCTTGCGGAGGGTGGAGGAAAGCACGGAGCGGATGGTGTGGCGCGGCCCCAGGGCGTGGGGGCTGAGCAGGTGCAGCGCGCGCGCCGCGCCCGCGCCGCGCCCCTGCAGCCGGCTGCCGCACCCGCCGCTGCTGATGCCCGAGGTGGCCGGCGGCGGGCCCGCCACCGCCAGCCGCGCGCCGCCGCCGCCGCCGCACGAGCCGCTGCTGCAGCCGCGGCTGGCGGCCAGCGCCAGCCCGCCGCCGCCGGCCAGCCGGCTGTACTGCAGCGGCAGGCGGCCCGCGCCGCCGCCGCCCACCCGTGCCGCCGGCTCCGCCGCCGCTGCTGCCGCCGGCGATGCGCACGCCGCCGCTCCTCTGCACCTGCTGCTGCTGCTGCTGCTGCTCTGCTGCTGCGGCCAGGCCCCCGCCTCAGTCATGTACGCCAGGCGGGTGCGCACCAGGTCCAGAGGATAGGTCAGCAGCACCGCGCTGCCGCCTGCCGCCGACCCTGCCACCAGGTCGAGCACCGGCGGCACGAGGTGCTCCTGCACAGGCCAGGGCCGCGACCGCGTCAGTACATTCACCCAGGCGGCAAACCACTCCATCAGCTGCTGTACGGCTGGCTTGATGGGCAGCAGTGCTCGGCGCTGGGCAGCCGATGCACACGGCCTGAGCGCCCGGGCAAGCTGCACAGGCGTATGGCATGCATCACCCGCTACGCCTGCCGCTCCCCGCTCCCAACCCAACAACAGACGTTCCGCCCCGCACCTGCGCTCCCAGCACGCCAGCGCCCACCAGGACGCGGCGGTAGTGCTCGTACGCCCAGTAATGTACCGCGGCGTACGGCACGATGCGCACCACGGCTGCGCCGTTGCCGCGGAACAGCCCCCGCACGCCCTCCGTCTCATAGATGTGGGTCAGCGTGGGGCCCAGCGACGCGCTGCGCAGCTTGCCCGTCTGCAGGTGCGGCAGCGCGGGGGCGGCGGGCGCTGCACGTCGGTGCTTGGCGCTCACCCACTTACCCAGCCACCTATTTCACGCAGCCCTTTGCTTGCAGGCTGCAGTCCCGAATGGGCGTGCTTGCCTGGAAGAGGATTTTGCATCGCTCCAGGGGCGAGATGACTGTCTTGGCGACGGCGCCCGCAAACCCGCCGGCCAGAAGCTCCTGCAGGCCAGCCAAGGGCAGGGCAGCGGCCACCAGTCAGGCATGTCCAGCGAGGGTTGCTGGGGCAGGAGGTGCAGGTGGAAGGGCTGAGAGCAAGCGGGGAGAGGCGGACACCGTGGCAGCGGCGGCGGCAGCCAACAGCTGGCGGGCCGCCGGGCCGTCCCCCAGGGCGGCTCGCCGACTCCCTGGCCACACCCCGCCCACTTGGGGCTGGTGGGCTCACCCTGATGGGCACGGGAAGAGCCCTGGCCTGTGCCCACGCCGCCTCCCGCTCTGCCGCGCCCAGCGGCATGGCAGGCTGGGCGCGTCGTGGGTCCTTGGGTGTCTGGGTTGACCGGCAGGAGTGAATTGCGGGGCGCAGAAGAAGCAGGGAGTCAGCAAGGCGCCCTTGGAACAGCTGTTGTGCCTGGGCCCAGACTTGAGACCAAGCGGCGTAGCAGGCGGGTGCAGAGGAGGCAGGAGGGCATTGTCATGCGGGTTCGCCACGCAGGCGCCAGCTCGGCCGAGGGAACTCCATGCCAGAGGCATGAAAATATCTGCATGCCATTGCGATCACTCTCCGTAGCAACAACGACCGATCAGAGGAGCCTGCCGCAGCTCCAGGCAGCCTTGGCCGCCGCAAAGAGTGTCGTGATTCTCGCTGGTGCTGCTTCCTCTGCTGTCGGGCACCTCAATGCGCAGCATTAGGTCTGCATGATTCGTGGATTATTGGGAGCCGCTGCCGCATCATGCTGGCCGCCGCCACCGGCGACTTGGCGCCGCCTCTCTCCGCCACTGGGCATAAAATGGCAAAGCCGGCGAGCTGCTGCCCGAGGCCTTTGGAGTAACCGCAGAGGGGAGCAGGAAATGATGCGGCAAGCCTAGGCGGACTGCACTCCAGTGCTGCGCTTCATTTGGCTTCACATGGTGTGTGGGGGTGCCATGTGAAACAAGAGAGTAAACCGAATAGGGACAGATAAAATGTAGGCAGCGGCAGCACGGGAGGGGAGAGCAGGAGCAGCGTGTACAGAGAGTGTGCATGGGGAGAAGATGTACAGGCACATCAAGGAGAGCATGACTGAAGCAAGGTTGTTGCTGGGGGAAGCAGAGTCCAGCACAGTGGTCTGGGACCAACGCTAGCTGGCGTACCGCTCGTTCACCATCACTTCCTGCAGGTCTTTCAGGAAGCTGGTGCTGTTCTGCACGGAGGTGCCCCCCAGCACAACCCGCATGCCCGCGGACCAGCCCTCCCCCTTCTCCCCCGCCGCATTCAGCTCCGCGACCGCCCTGGCCTCCTCATACGTCGTGCCCCCGACCACAAACACCACCACCAGCCGGGGCACCTGCATGCCGACACACAGCAAGGCCAGGTGAGTCGCAGAAGTCGAGACTTGAGCAGGCGCTGTGCTGATGGAGGCCACAGCTGCATGCCCACGTAGTGCAGGCAGGCAGGCGGATCTGCAGGGCGCAGGCGCTGCTGAGCACCGCACCCACCCGCGGCGCCTGCGGGCTGCTGTTTCTGTCCACGCGTGGGTAGTCCATCTCAGGCAGCTTGGAGCGGGCCAGGCGCTCCAGCAGGCCCACCAGGGCGGGCGTGTGCTGCGTGTACACATTCTCTACGCCCTGCGGCGGCAGCAGGCCCGGCAGGCGAGATGAGCGCAGAGGAGATGCGCACCCACAACCAGATGACGGCTGGGCACGGCAAAGCGGCAGCCCTTGGTGCATACATGGAAAGCCGCTCAGCCTCAGGCACGGGCGCCCCCCTCAGCGCGCAGCCACAGGGCGCACCTTGAGGTGCTGCTTGGCAAGGGAGGCGAAGCGGGAGCTCATGGTTCGGTCGGAGAAGATGTCTGCCACCCGCGCATCCGCGCGGCACTGCTTCAGCACAAAGCGCAGCAACGCGAGGCGGTGCGGCTCCACGCCCTGGTCCCCCAGCGTGTGCAGCAGCGCCGCCACCTGCGGCGCGCCGTCCCGCTCGTACCGCAGCGCAAACAGCAGCGCCAGACGCAGCCGGTCCGCCTCGGGCAGGCCCGCGTTGCCCACCAGCCCCGCCACCGCCTCGTAGTGCGCGGCCAGGCTGGGCGACTGGCACGCCACATCCTGCTCCACGCCCGACACCGCCATCAGCCCGCGCCGCTCCACCGCGTGGCTCAGCTCGCTCATCAGCGTGACGTGCTTGTAGGTCACCCCCTGCTGGTGGCTGTAGTCGGGCAGGTTCTCGATGAAGGATGCCATCTGGTCCAGGGTCTGGAACTCACGGGCGCTGCGGTGCTCCCTGCAGGGGGGCGCAGGCAGCCGCACCCGTCATAACACCCCCCCCGCTGCCGGTCACAGCTGGCATTAGCTGCAATGTTGGGCACTCCTCAGCCTCGCAGCCGGTGCCCATCCCGTGCCATCATCGCCCATATCCCTTCCACACCACCCTCCCCGTCCCACCTGCCCGTCGCATGCACACGCACCTCCACCTCCGCTGCCAAGCCCCTCCGCCCCTCCCCACCAACCCTCCCTGTCCCACCTGCCCGCCGTGTCCACCAGCTCCTTCACAGCCATGCCCAGGTCTCCAAAGTTGGAGTACATGTTGGCGCGGAAGAAGGGGTCCTGCCGCGCGCTCAGCACCGCCTCTGCAAACTCGGGCTTCACGCCGGGCACGTGGCGCAGGTCGACGCGGTTCAAGGCGATGCCGACCAGCTCGTGCACCATGGCCTGCGGGGAGGTAGAAAGGCAGGCAGGCAGGCAGGCAGGCAGGCAGGGTGGATCTCAACGAGCGGGCGAGGGGAAGAGCGGTGGCAGGCTGGTGGCTGGAGCGGCGCTTGTGAGGTGAGGCAGGCGCACGGCACGGGCATGTTGGCTGCACGCGTTCTGTCGACAGACAGCCAAGCCCCTCTGCCTGCCACCCAGCGGTCGCCGCCGCACCTGGTACGTCCATTGCGACAGCAGCGGCGTGACGGGGTCGTCCCGGCGGTCCAGGATGAGCAGCACGGGGGCGGGCTCGCCGCGGTTGCCAAAATCGAACAGCTCCCGCTCCTCTATCGCTGTGAGGTGGTGCAGCGACTGGGAAAAGCGCTCGCAGATCTCGGAGCCGCGCTGGTAGCTGCACATACCAGGTCGAGAGGTAGGCAGGCAGGCAGGCAGGTAGGGGGGCATTGAGCCAGGGGCACAGCATCCCATTCCTTCACAGCATGCTGCCACAGTCGATGCATCGCCATAGCCTGCCACATGTGCCACCTCTGCGCTTTGCACCATGCGCTGGCAGGGGTACTGGCACGCCGCCGCCGCCGCAGCGCACCGTATCAAGAAGCGGCGGCGCAGGGAGAGCATGAGGCTGGCCACCCCTTCGGTCATGCGTGCGATGGCGTCGCTGCTGTTCCCAAAGTCCCAGGAGAAGGGCTGCATGGCGAGGTGGGGCCGCGGCAGCGGCACCAGAAAGTGGTGCGGCTCCAGCGCCACAAAATCCCCAAAGTACTCCTGCACCTGCTGCACCTGCGGCGCAGCGGGAGGCGGGGCGCAGGGAGGGCCTGTTGTTGGCGAGCTGGGGACCTCAGCGAAACAAGCCGCTGCCGGCCAAAACCAGACCCGGAAAATGGAACATGCCTGCCGCGCTGCCCCTCCCTGCTGACCTCTGCTGACCCTCTGCTGCTGCGCCTCCTACCTGCTCCCGCACATCCATCTCCGCCAGGTCCTGCAGCCGCATGTCCTCCACGCGGTTGGTGAAGACTGCGGCAGGCGGCCAGCGGGCAGAAGAGCAGGACCCGTTGGGCACAGAGGAACGCGGCGCATGGATGGCGACAGCTGGTCGTCCAGGATGCTGTCGTTGGGTGGCATGGAGCTATGCGTTGGTTGGAACACACGCCAGCTGTGAAGCAGTGCTGGCAAGCAACCTCCCGCTGCTTCCGCATGGTCGGCTGCACTCACACAAGTGGTACTCGCCAAACCGAGGGTCCCGCAGCTCGCGCCGCATGCGTGCGATGTTCTCACGGGTGGGACGCAGAAAGCACACAGCCTGCAGCACAGAGGGTAACGACGTGAGGCAGGGTACTGCAGGCTTTGGCGCCTGCCGAACCGCCGCCACCCGCCGCTGCCGCCGCCACCAGCTGGGCGCCCCTCCGCAGCCGGCGTCGCGTACCTTGAGGTGGAACAGCTGGTCCCCCTTGTCTGCGTCCAGCCGTTCCACCAGGTAGACCTCCTGCTCAAGGATCTCCGACTGGCTGAACACAGTGGACACCACGCGCGTCGTCTCCGCATCCAGCAGCAGCACCTTCATTCCAGGAACCTCTCTCAGCATTTTGTCGACGTAATAGCGCACCACCTCCACCAAGTCCGCTGCCTGCCCCGCGTTGCTGCTGCCGGCGGTGGTCATGGGCGATCAGGGAGCCCTGAGGGGCCGCCTTAGCGCCTGCAGACGCCCCCGCGCCAGCCGCAACTGGTCAACGCCCGCTGCTAAACAGGGCCTGCGTGCAGGGGCTCCAGTGCCGCTGTTGTGCACCTGCTAACGAGGGTGCATGTATGGAGGTGCCAGGAAAGCAATGTGCTGCCCAGAATGCGCACGCTCAAGAAGAGCACTGCGCAAGATTGCCACCTCGGCGCATGTGTTGTGCCAGTTCACAGAGGAGCCCGATCCTGCGGCCCCTGCCTGTTCCTGCCTCCCAAAGCCACTCACGAACACCCCCTGCAGCAGCAAGCAGCTAGGGGACCCTCTCAATTGCAGCCCACCTTGCCTCGCACACATCAGCGCAGCCCAGCAGCCATGCCTGCAGCCTGCGGCATGCTGGTGCAGCAGCAGGGCGGTGCGGCGAGCAGCAGAGGCCCCTGGAGCGGCCGCGGCGTGTGGACGCCTGGAGCGTCGCCCGCCCGCTGCCACCGCCGCTGCCGCCGTGCTCTGGCAGCAAGGTCGGCAGCGCAGTCCCCGCAGGCCGCCCCGGAGCAGCCGCAGCAGCAGCCGCAGCAGCAGCAGCAGCGGCCGCCGCCGGCGAGCGCGACGGTGCAGCGGGGGCAGCCGCCGCCGGGCTACACGTCGCACACGCAGGCCCTCTACTCTTCCACCCCCGATCCCATCGTCAGCTTTGGCTTTGCCAAAGGCTTCAAGGACAAGTACGAGCTGGCGCAGCAGCTGGGCAGCGGCACGTTTGGCATCGTTCACATCGCGGTGAACAAGGAGACGGGGGAGAGGTGAGGGCCCCGGGATGAGGAGGCGGGGGAGGTGCCGTGCACGGCGAGCCGTGTGGGAATGGGAGGGCCCAAACCTGCATTGCTGGGAGCAGCCTGCCGACACACGTGCAGCGGTGGGTGGGTGGTCGCTGCGCAAGATCTTGTTTCCTCTTGCGGACCAGGCAGCAGGGAGGTGCCGCCCCTGTGCTCGCCCCGCCTGCTCTCTGCCCAGCCCCCCACGCCGCAGCCCCTCCCTTTGCTCCTTCTCTGCAGGTTTGCTGTGAAGAGCATGCCCAAGCGGTTTGCATCCAACGGCAACCTGGAGCCCTACTATGTGCGGCGGGTGCGCAACGAAGTGGACATCTGCAACCACCTCGGCAGGTAAGCACAGAGGGACTGGGGACGGCACAGCGTGCGACACCAGGGGCCCGTGAGCTGTGCCGCCCGCCCCCGCCCTGGCCCATGCCCAGCACAGGGCGCTCAGCTGTTTCTTGCTCGACCCTTGCCGTCCCGCCCTGCCCTGCCCCGTGCCTGCGTGTGCAGGTCCCTCAACGTCTGCTACCTGTATGAGGTGTTTGAGGATGAGAAGTGTGTGGACCTGGTGATGGAGCTGTGCTCTGGCGGGGAGCTGTGGGACAAGTGAGCCGCTCGCCACGGTGGCAGCCGCCGCGGTTCCCAGCGGGTGGCGGCATGCCTGGGGGCACCCTGGGGGCTGCTGGCCAGCGGCCTGATTGCGGTTGGTTGAGCTGCGGCGCAGTGCTGGATGTAGGGAACGAGGTGTGTTGCCGCTGCCGCCCACGTGCCCCCTGCCCATCGCCCGCTGCCCCCCTGCCTCCGCAGGATCAAGCTGGGCTCCTATTCCGAGAACGCGGCGCGGCGGCTGGTGCGGGAGATTGTGAGGGCGGTGGCGCAGTGCCACGGCATGAACGTGCTGCTGCGGGACATCAAGCCGGAGAATGTGAGGCGGGGGCATACCAGCCACGGAGCCACTGGCATGCTGACAACGCGCGAGCCTGCCGTGCTTCTGCTGCCGCGCGCCTGTGGTTTGGGCCTGCAGCGGCCCCACCCTTGTGTGCGCACCCCTCCCAGACCCACTCCCCGACCCCGCCACACGCCACCTGCCCCTCTTCCCTCCTCTCCCCTCTCCCAGTTCATGTTTTTGGACCGCGCCCCCGGCAGCCCGCTGAAGGCCATCGACTTTGGCATCTCCGTCTTCTGCCAGCCCGGGCAGTACATCGATGTACGGGCGGGCACCCCCATCTACATCGCCCCCGAGGTCCTGCGCATGCACTACACGCTGTCTGCCGACATCTGGAGCCTGGGCATCGTGGCCTACCAGCTGCTGACGGGGCGGCTGCCCTTCTCCGGGGAGGAGGGGCAGGAGGTCAGCGAGGAGTACATGGCCAAGAAGGTGGGCGAGGTGGAGGAAAGGAGGAATGGAGCGGGAGGGGGGGCGGTGGAGGAAATGAGGAAAGGAGGGGGGGCGGCAGGGTGTGTTGCTCTGCGCCGTCAGTGTGTTGCTCTGCGCACGGGGGTGTGCACGCATGCGTGTGTGAGGGAGGGCACGTGCGCTGCCGGGGCAGGCGGCGCCTGCGCAGCGTGGATGGAGTTGCCCTGCCATCGGCGCCGCCCGCGCCTTCCTCTCTCCCACCCGTGCCGCTCCGTCTCGTCGCCCTCCCCCACCTCCCTTGCCCTGGTCACCCTCGCCACCCCGTGCAGGTGTTTGACAACAAGGAGGTGTTCAGGGCGGTACTGTTTGCGGAGCTGGACTACGAGTCTCCGCCCTGGGACACGCTGTCGGGTGCGGTGCGGTGGGGTGGGCAGCCACCTTGGCAACCACCTGCGAGCGTTTGGGTGCCAGGCGCAGGCAGCGGCGCGTGGCCAGCCGCCATGCTGGGAGTCGCTGGTCGGAGGCGTGCCGACAGGCCGCACCCGGTTGTTCTGCCCGCACCTGGCTGCCCCTAATGCCCCTTGCCGATTCCCCCAACCTCCATCCCTTGCTCCGTTCCCTCCCTCCCTCCCTCTCCGCCCGTGCCGCCGCAGACGCGGCCCGGGACTTTGTGCAGTCCTGCCTGCAGCGCGACGAGAAGCTGCGCCCCAGCGCAGAGCAGCTGCTGGAGCACCCCTGGCTGCAGGATGAGCTGCACGTGTCGGACGCACCCTTCAGCGACACCATTGTGCAGCGCCTGCAGCGCTTTGGCCTGTACGGCAGGTGGGGCGCCGGGGCTGCGGCGGGCGGGCGCTGCGCTGCTGTGCTCAGCTGGCCGGCCGCCGCGGGCCCGCCTCGCATGCAGATCCGCGATTCCTGCACAGAGCTAGAGCTCCTGCTGGCACCACCGCTCGCTGCCGCAGTGCTCCGCCGACTGCCCACCTCCTGTCTCCTCCCTCCCTGCCTGCCTCCCTCCCTCCCTCAAACCCCCCGCCCCTGGCTCCCGCAGGTTCCGCCAGGTGGCCCTCAAGGCGGTGGTGCGCGGCATGGCTGGCGACAGCGAGGCGCTGGCCGACATGCGGCAGGCCTTCCAGATGATGGACACAGACCACGACGGCAGGGTGACCTACTCAGAGGTAAGGCAGGCAGGGGCCTCCTCCCCGCCTCCCTCGCTTCATCTCCCAGCCTCCCGGCCTCGCCCTGGACCCTTGCCCCGCCCTGATTGATGCCGCGCGGCGCTGGCATGGGTAGCGGCATCGCGCAGCGTTGTGCCACGTGCACAACGGCAGAAGCCTGACGCTCCTTGCCACCCCCCACTCCATGCCTCCCTCTTTCTCACACACACACAACTCCTGCTGCCTCACTCCCCCTCCCCTCACTCCCCTCCCGCCCTGCGCAGCTCAAGCAGGCCCTGCAGGACGGCCACTTCAGCCTGTCGGCGGGGGAGGCGGAGCAGCTGCTGGAGCAGGTGGACACGTACCACCGGGGCGAGATCGACTTCTCCGAGTGGGCGGCAGCCATGGCAGACTGGCGCTCGGTGCGTTTTTTTTCCGCATCGGGACACGGCAGCTGCAAGCGGTGCCGGCTGCAGCCGCCGGCTTGCCCTGCTGGGCGGCCAGGCCCAGTGCTCAGCCGCTCGGCCGCTGCGCTGGGCAGTCCTGTGCCTCCTGCGCGTCCCCCCCTGTTGCGCCCCCACCCATGCAGCCCCACCCGCGCCACGTCCCCTGCCTCTGCTGCCCTGCAGTTCAAGGCGGGCAACGACTGGGACAGGCTGGTGGCTGATGCCTTCAAGAGCATGGACCCCGACAACGACGGCCTGCTGTCGGGCGAGGACCTCGAGCGCCTGCTGTGCGGCGACGACGGCTGCGAGGTGCCGGGGCGGGGGAAGCGGGATGGCGGGGCCGGGGCCGGGATGGCAGGGGCACAGGGGGAACAGACGCGCATGATTGCAGTCGTAGGTGTGTGTGGGCAGCCACTTTGAGGCCGTTGTCAATGGGAGCTCTTCTCCTCTTCGCCGCTGCCCGGCAGCAGCCAGCCCGCCCGGCAGCGCCCAGCCCGCCAGGCCTGCGCCGCCCCCGCTGCTGCAGGTGCCCGACATGGTGGATGCGGCGCTGCGTGAGGCAGACGCCGACCACGACGGCAAGGTGGACCTGCAGGACTTCAAGTCCTTCCTAGACTCCAAAACCGACGACTCCCTGCTCCTCTTTGACGCCCGCCTCTCGCGCGACGGCAGCGACAGCAGCGGCAGCGACGGCGGCGACGGCGGCGGCGGCGGCGAGGGGTGAGCCCCGGCGGCTGGCCGCAGGCCTGCTCCCGGCAGGCAGCGCGCTGTTTTGACCCTTGGCGCCACGGTGTATTGCATTTGAGTTATTCGGGTGTGCAGCGGCGGCAGAGGAAGGGAAAGCGAGCGCGCCAGCAGCGCAGACGAGACAGCAAGAGCCAGAGAATGAAACCGAGACTGAGGACGCATCAGCGCGACAACGTGTGCGGCACTGCCTGCAGAACAAACAAATCTTTCAAAATTCTTATGTCGGGCCGCCTGCTTCTCAAGGCGCTGTTCCGTTGCCCATCTGCTTGTTCAGTGTAATTCGATATTGTTTGCTTTGGCAGGTGGCGCCGGGGCCACTCCTTATGTCTTGGGAGGTGGTGCCTGACTGGGCAATCGATATGCTGCCTGCTGCAGTGCCTGCTGCTGCTGCTGCTGCTGCTGCTGCTGCTCTTGCGCCCCAGCTCCCGCGCCGCCGCCGCCCCCTTGAGTTGCTGCCACCGCAACCGCGCTGCCGCCCGCCAGCAAGCCCAGGCCCTTTGCAGCCACCCCTCCCCCTGCTTTCGCAATTGTGGCCGCCTTGGAGAAGACGACGATTCCGCCCGCAAACACGGCACTGCAAGGACAAGGTTGGGGCAGGTCATTCACTGCAGACGTGACGGGCGGGGGAGGCGGCAGCCGGTGCAGATGCTCTCTGTCAATCCCGCCTGCCCCTGTCAAGCCTTTCCAATCATTGAGAAGCCTCACCGCAGCACCGTCCGAACCCCAGCGGATGCCATCACGCTGCTTGGGAGTCAAGCCTGAAGCACGAGCACTGGGCGCCGTTCTGTGGATTGCAGATGACTACTGTGACATACCGGAAGGGTGTGGATGCCCGCGAAAGGCGCTGCGCGAAGAAAATTTAGCGCCAAGTTGACTGCTGCGTGGCAGAAAGTCACTGGTTGCAGTAGAAAAGGACAACTACCCTGTCCCACCACCCCACATCTCAGGCAGGTGCCGTCACGCCCCTCAGTGCTGCTTCCGACGCCGTCCTTCCCGGTCCGCCCTCCTCACCGCCAGCCTAGGGCAAGATGGGGCGCAAGCACAGTAAAAATGCGGGAACGATGGGCTGCGAGGCCCTCACCTACCATGAGCGCAAGGCGCTGGGACACGGCACCGTCATGGAGCGCCTGGGCAAGGTGCGGCGCCGTGCAGCACTTTAAATAGAGTGGCCAGCGCGCACAGCACCGCCCCGCTGCAGCAGGCAGCAGGCCCGTCGCTCGCGCTGCGCCGCCAGGCGCAGACGCTTCCGCTCGACACACCCCTGTCTGCTGTCTTGTCTGGCTGCGCTGCAGGAGTCCATCGGCAACTTCTATGACTGCCGGCTCACCCTGATGCCTGCAGTGGTGAGTTTTGGGGGCACAACCGCGCCGCCGCCCCCTGCCTGTGTTGTGCAAGCCCCCCACCCGCCGCCACTGCTGCCGCCGCTCTGAGGCCCGCACCATGCCCCGGATCTCAGAACAAAGAGTGTGCTGTGCTCAACACAAGCATGCGGGTGTGGCTGTGCCTGTGTCGGGGTGCAGGACCCGGTGTGCACGCCCAAGGGCTTCCTGTTCAGCCGGGAGGCCATCCTGGAGAACCTGCTGGAGCAGAAGAAGGCCAACAAGCGCAAGCTGGCGGCCTGGCAGGCGCAGCAGGCCGAGGACACGCGCAAGCAGGTGCAGCGGGGGAGCCAGGGGGGGGAAGTCGCATGTGCATCAGAGGGGAGGGAGGGGGCGGGAATTGAGGAGGAGTGAGAGTTGATCATCAGCCTGGGCAAAGCCGTTGCAGCCGGCTTGTCGGAACGGTTGCTGAAGCAGGGCGGCTGCGCTGCGTCTCAGTTCTCTTTGTGCCTCCAGCGGCTGATACCACCTGCTAGCGCCTAACTGCCACCCCTGCGGCCGCGCCGCCTGCAGGAGGACAAGGCCGCCATCGACGCGGAGGCGGCGCTGCTGGCCTTTGACCGCCAGAACCACATGGGCGCCAGCGAGCAGCTGACCAAGAAGCTGAAGCAGACGATCAACGAGGAGGCTGAGGTGCTGCTGGCGGACAAGCGGAGGGCGAGCGGGGCGGTCAACATCAAGACAAACGAGGAGCGCATGAAGGTGGGCGCGGGCGGCGCTGGTGGTGCTGCTGGCTGGTGGTGCTGCTGGCTGCTCCGGTGCTGGCTGCTGCTGCCATGGGGTAGTGGTTGGGGCGTGCTGCTGCTGCCATTGTAGGCGATCAGTGTGCAGCGGGTCCTCACCAGCAGCGGCCCCGCCTCCACCGTGCTTGCTGCTGCGATCCCAGCCACACAACTGCCCACCCGCCGCTACTCCCTCCGCCCTGATCTGGCCGCTCCTGGCGCCTCCCGCCGCCCTGCCACGCAGGGCATGACGGGAGACACCGCGTTCTGGGTGCCCGGCAAGGTGGGCGAGTCCAAGGTTGTACTGGACAAGCCAGACATGTCCACCCTCTGCCCCGCCACCGGCGACAAGCTGAAGCTGAAGGTACGCCCGGGCCGACGCCGTGCAGCCTCCGTCTCCGGCAACGCCCTCCCCTCCTTGGCAGCTGGCCCGCGTCACGGCCTGCGCCGCAGCCACCCTCCCGCTGCCCTTTCTGTATGCCTGTCCCTGTCAACCGCCCCTGCCTGCCACCGCATCCCGATCTCCACCTGCCCGCACCCGTCCCCTCCCCGCCCGGCGCAGGACCTGTTCAGCGTGCGGTTCACTCCTGTGCCGGATGGCGGCCCTCACGAGTACATGGACCCAGTCACAAAGGACATCTTCATCAACGCATCCCGCCTGGTGGTGCTGAAGCCCACGGGTGGGTGGCGGTGGGGGTGGTGTGGCGTGGTGTGGTGTGGCGTGGTGTGGTGTGGCGTGGTGTGGCGCGCTGCGAGGAGGGTGTGGCATGGGGAGAGAGGAGGGCGGGGAAGCTGAAGCCTGTCGTTTCCGCTCACCATCCCAGCTGCGCGTCTTGCTCCCCAGCTCAACCGGATGCGCCCCTCCCTCCCTTCCCTGACACCTGGCAACCTGCCGCAGGCGACGTGGTGCTCAAGGAGACGTGGGAGAGGTGCATCAAGGGCGACGGCAGCTACGGCGGGGTGCCTGTGGGGGAGGACGATGTGCTGGAGCTGCAGCGCGGCGGCACCGGCTTTGCGGCGCACGACAAGGAGCTGCAGGTTGGCGGGGTTGGTGTGGGGTGTCGGGTGGGTGGGCTGGGAGTGTGCGTTTGGGGTGAGGAGGGGCCTGGGTGGGCGGATGGGCTTGATCCAGACCTGCTGTTGCCCTTCTGTGTGCAGGCCAAGAAGCGGTTCCTGCTTGGGCCCGGCAGCGGCCTGGCAGACCTGCGCGGGCAGCACCAGGGGCCCACCAGCAAGTTTGGGCTGCGGTTCAACAATTGAGGGCCTTGCCTGTACTCCCCTGTATTCTTTCCGCACCTCGGTCCTCGCTCTCCTTTGCCGCTTTGCTCCTCTCTCTGCTGCCCTCTCCGTCCTGCTGCTGCTTCTCTTGTTTCCATCCGCTCCCTCCTCCCGCTCTCCTTTCAGCCTTGCTTCTCTTCATCTGTTTCCGTACCACAACCTGGTGATCGGCACGCCCCTGGCTTCTGACCCTCTTGACAATGGCACCCATACCGGTTGTACTGTAACTTCCTTTTTCAACATCACAAGTGGAAAGCTTGACATTCAGGCACATCCAGTATGGTACTTATAGTCATGCGAATATGTACTAAGGGACTGGCAGGGATGATTCTACACCAAAACCATCACCGCTGCCTCCCTGGCGGCTTCCACCCCGCGACAGACCTGGCTGCTTCCCTCCGAGGAGGCGCTCATGGCACGCGCGCGGGGATGTCACGCGTGTCGGGCTGGCTCATCCTCTCCGTGTCCACAGGGCCAAAATCTGCCACGCCTCCAATGTCTGCACACAAGGGGTCAAGGGGCCTGCATTGGCGCCGCAGCCTAATACAGGCTCCGCCAAAACAGGCGCATCAAGCGAGGATGGCATGTCATGCACTGCCGCCGACTCGCCTATGTGGCGGCCCAGGCCGCTGCGGTGGGGAGACGTGGGCTCGTCCTCGCCTCGCTCCTTGCGGTGCTTCTCCGCGTCCTGGGCTGCAGGCATGGCATGGAGGGTGATGGGATTTGACGTCTGGCACAGCTGCACGGATGAACACACACAAAGTACGAGGCGGGCAGCACGCCTGATAGGCAGCAGCCCACGCACCAGACTCCAGGAAGCCCGCTGGCTTGTCGCTAGCCACACCCTGCAAGGCGGGGAGTGCAGTACCCTGAGAAGCAAGCACACAAAGACGAGACATGCAACGCCGGGCTGCAGCTGGGGGTGGCTGCCTCTGGAGCTCTCGTCGGCGCACCGCCAACGAACGGCGGCGCACCACAGACTGTCTCGGCCGTCCCTGCACCCTGTCTCAATCGATCTTCGGCTGCATCCGGATGCTTCAACACCCGTGTAAACCAGCAGCACTTACCGGCTGGGGCGCTGGGGTTTGCTCCTGCTTGCTCGGGTCCGCCATTGCTGCGTGTGCGCTCTTTCAGAGGTCTGGGATGCTGGCAGATGCGATTTAAATGCGGTTGGACAGCGTCCGACACCTTTCCTGTGAGATGGGCTGATGTGGCAGGCGCCGTGGCGCGCCGCCGCTGTAGAAGGGGCGCCGATTTTACACATTGCAGCAGGCAATATACACACAGAATAACAACATGCACAGCAGAGGCAGGTGTGATTGTGTCAGTATCGAGCCAGCGCAAGGCTCAGGAGCCAAACAGGCGCCGCATGGACGGCATGCAGCCGCTGCCGGGCTCGCCGTTGCTGGGCGCCTCGTGCGGGGCGGCAGCCTCCCCAGTGCCCTCCTGCTGCCGCTGCTGCTTGAGGCGCTGCAGGCGCTGGCCGGCGCTAATGGCGGCCAGATGAACCGCGGCATCAAAGGAGCCGCTGCCCTCCAAAGTTACCTCACCGCTGTTATCCGGCAGCCGGCAGCCAAAGGTGAGCTGCACCGTTGCATCTGGCGCCAGGCCAAAGATGCGCCTGCAAGGAATGCATGGTTGAAGGAGCGTTGGCGGCATGGCACCAAAGTTGCCAGCTGGTGGTGCGGGGTCAGAGCCAGCACCCACACCCACCTGATCGCGGCCTCAAACTCACTCCTGCCCTGAGGGCCAGGATGCACGGCCAGTTGGTGTGTCGATCCTTCGTGAACGACGCTCATACTGCGCTCAGGCAGGCAGGCAGGAGGTCAGGAGGCACGGTCAGGAGGGAGCAGTGCCGGAGCAGCAGCAGCACAGCAGTAATGTCAACTAATGTTTGCTGTGCAGTCTCAAATTGGTACCGCTTTGGGCAGGGCACTGTGCGCCTCCTTCCAGTCCGGCAGGTGGTCCTGGCAGAAGCGGCAGTTTCGCTCCTCGGCCCTCCCCGCGCTCGCAAGTTGCCAACGAGCGAGGCAGGCCGGGTGCACGCTGCGCGGGCAGCGGCACGGCCGCTCGAGATAGCCAGCCTCTGTCCCGCTGTGGCAGATCCAGCACGCTTCCTGATCCAGGTCGCCGCTGCCGCTGGTGGCGCTGCTGCTGGGGCTGAAAGATGCCGGCGGACACATGATGGCCTGAACACTGCAGGCATGAAGGGGCGAGTAGTTAAGGGTGGATCGAAGCAAGGCTCAGCAGCTGCGCCGCCGTCCGCACCCTCCAGCCTGTGCACCTGCTCTGTGCGTCCTGGCAATCGAGTCGGGGCCTGCAATCTTACGCTGCAAGTTGTCGCTGCTTTGCGGAAGGGTGGACTTTTCTCCTGCTGGTTCGTGCATCCACGAGGCGGCATATTGTGTGTCACGAAGCACGAGGCAGTTTGTTTTTCGAGGCAGAGTACGGAAAATGGCCGACTTGGATCCTGGGTCCTCATTTATGCTTGAAACTAGAGCTTATAGCTCTAAGATGCCGCCAGCGCGTGAAAATGGTCTGGCGGTCAGCCGCACTCGACCATGTCATGCACAGCGTGCCGCCCAGCGGCGGCTGGTACACAGGCAGGACCTTGCCTTCCTGACTCCATGGGCCACTGATCCGCCTGTTGCTTCCGCAAGTTACATCACCGCCACCCACAATAGATCTGAAAGGGCCATGGATGCAGCCTGGCGGCTGCTCCCAACGCTAGAGCTCTTCCCTGGCCGCCGCCGCGCCGCCCGCCCCACCGCCCGCCCCCTGCTGCCTGCTCCTCAGGAAGTCGAGCGCAAACTGGACGTGCAGCGCGGCCCCCAGCGGCAGCGCCGCCTCGTCCAGCCTGAACTGCGGCGTGTGCAGGCCGTGCACCGAGCCGGCGGTGTCGTTGCGGATGCCGAGCATGAGGAAGGCGGAGGGGACCTTGGCGGCCAGGAAGGCAAAGTCTTCGGCGTCTGCAGCAAGAGCGACGGTTGGGCAGCGGGGCAGGGTGGGGAGGGAAGCAGGGCGGGGTGGGGAGTGGAAACGGGGGTGGAGCAGCTTGACGGTTCCGGCGCCAGGTTGCCTCACGATAGTTGGAGGTTGAGGGAAAGCCGATGCAGGGCCCGGGACACTCACACATGTAGGGCTCAAAAATCTCCACTGCATTGCCGCTGCCCACCACCTTGGCGGCCGAGCCCAGCGCCAGCGCCGTCATGCCGGCGTCCGTGATGAGCGGCGGGTAGGGCATCTGCGGAACGGCGGGTGCAGCGGCGGCGGCGGGGTGCGTGCATATCTTGCGTTGCGAGCTGCTGCCGCTACCACTGCCTCGTCCAGCTGGTGCAGACATAGTGCCTTGTCCCAGCAAGGTCCCGCCTGGGACCCAGCCAGCCTGAACCTGCCCCAGCAAGACACAGGCAGTGCAGCGCCAGGCGAGGCGAGGCGGGGCCAGGCGGAGGCCGCACCGGCGACCACTCCACGGTGGCGTTGCAGCCGTACATTGTGGCGGTGCTGGTGAACACGGCAGTGACTCGCTGCCGCAGCTGGGCAAAGATGGGGTCGGAGAAGGCGCGGATGGTGCCAGACAGGGTGACCCGCTCGGGGATGACGTTCGGGGCGCCCTCGCCTGCACGCAGCGCCACGTCAGCGCCACGTCAGCACCACGTCAGCGCCACGTCAGCGCCGCGCATCGATGCAGGGACGGGGCCCGGAGGCGGCGCCCCTCCCCACCCGCCGCCTCCCTGCCGCACGCCATGCCAGCCGAAGCCCGCCAAGCACGGCGCCGCATGCCGACCCAAGCAGGCCCGCCCGTGGCCTGGCCGCCACCTCCCCGGCAGCGCCGCCCCCGGCCGAGCAGCACCCCAGCAGGCACCCCAGCGGCCATCACCCCGCACCCGTGTTGAAGCGCGACACGGTGACCACGCCGCCCTCCAAAGGATTGACCTCCCGGGAGAGCAGCGGCTGCAGGGCCACCACCGCCATAGACGCCGCCAGCACCGCGTCCCGCGCCTTGTGCGGCATCCCCGCGTGCCCGCCCACGCCCCGAATGACCACCGAGAAGCGATCCGCGGCGGCAAAGGTGGCCCCCGACTGCACCGCCGCGTCGAGGCACCGGCAGGGCAGGGGGATGAGAGGCCAGGCCACAGCCGCTCGGCTTGGCAGCAGCGAACGGGCTGTGCCGCCGTATGTGGGGGCAGAGGCGTGGCAGGCGTGCCCAGGGCAAGAGCCGAAAGCAGCCGGGCAGGCTGTCTGCTCCTCCCACCTTGGCGTGCACGGTGCCCGTGGGGGCTGCCGGGTTGACGTGCATGCCAAAGGCGGCGGCCGCACCCTCCAGCGCGCCATCTGCGACCATGAACGACGCGCCGCCGCCGCCCTCCTCCGCGGGCTGGAACAGCAGGCGCACCGTGCCGCGCAGCTGGCCTTCCACCGCCTTGAGCGCCTTGGCGGCTGCAAGGGGGCAGACCGCGCGGGCAGGCGGGGCGGCCAGCGGGCAGGGTTCAGCTGCTTGCCAGCCGGAACTGCTCCGCCATCAGCCGCCTGTTGCGGGCTGCTCACTGTCGGCCGCGAGTCACACCACGGCCCACCTGTCAGCAGCATGGCGGTGTGGCCGTCGTGGCCGCAGGCGTGCATGACGCCCGGCCTGCGGCTGCTGTACGGCAGGCCGCTCGCCTCCTGGACGGGCAGCGCATCCATGTCCCCGCGCAGCACCACCACCGGCTGGCCGGCGCCCACCTCCGCCACGATGCCGGTGCGGGCGACCGGGTGGCGGTAGCGGATGCCCAGGCCATCCAGGGCGGACCTGCCGGGCAAGCAAGGGGGGTGGGTGGGTGGTGGCACGGGCATGTTGTGCTGCGTTGTGCCCACCCGCTGCCCCATACCGTTCTAAAGGGGAGCCTATGCCGCACCGCAAACTGGGAGCACCAACGTCTGCGGTCAGCTTGCCTGATCAGTGCGCTGGTCTCATTCTCCTGAAAGCTGAGCTCTGGGTTGGCGTGCAGCTGCCTGCGGCGGCGGCGGCGGCGGGGAGTCTGGCGGTGACAGCGGCAACGCAGTGGCAAGGCCCAATTCATGATGAGCTCTCAAGCAGCACACACCTGCGGACTCGCAGCAGCAGGTCGACGTCCAGTGCGGGAGCGGCGGCATTGCAAACCGGGGCTGCCGTCCCCAAGAGCAGCAGGATCAGGGCAAGCAAGTGTGTGTGCATCGGGCCTGCACTGTTGCGATTCATTAACCAGTGCTCGGCAGCCTACCGTAGTGGCACGCTAATAACGACCCAAAAAATTCAGAGCGCTGCTTGGGTCGATGAGATCAGAAATTCTGAGGGCGGGCGGGTCGATCGGCCTAAAAATAACTGTGCAGCTCGATCCAGGTTCTCGCCCCCCAAGCGCGCTCTATTCGCCCTGCCATGCCCTGTTCTCCCTCTCTGGGGGCTGCTGCAACCTCCCGGGGGGAGCCTGCAAGCTCCCGCCGCAATGGAGCTCAAATTGGCGCAGAGCAAGCTCGCCTTTCAGCCTCAAAAGCGGCGCGCGGCGGCGGCAGCGGCGGCAGCGGCGCGGCGGCGGCGCAGCTCCTGCACTGTCTAGTGTCCCAACTCCTGCTGTTATGGGTCTGCAAGAGATACCAGTGAGCCAAAGGGGAGCTACAGATGCCCAACAAGTGTGGCGGCGGCAGGCGGCGGCAGCCGACCCCGAGGCGGCCGCCCAGCCAGGGGTCGATGCATCGGAAATAAAGCCGCCCCGCCTGGTCGATCGCCCTAGACCCTTCATAAATTCGATCGACCCAGCGGCTGGGTCGTTATTAGCGTGCCACTACGGTAATGACCGCGCTCCGCCAATGCAGTACTCAGTGTTTCCAGGTAGGCCTCCCGATCACCGGTCCCCTCCTGGCGGGGGTCATGCATCCCCCACCCATCATGCATTTCAGGCTTCATCTCCCTCAAACCTCCACCATTTTCCCTCTCGTTTGTCGTGATCGACTCCGGGTAGCCCAAATGCCATTCTAGCGGGGCCTATGGGCCGCGACGAAGCGACCAACTCTGGTGGCAAAGGCAGCAGTCTCGGCGTGTCTGCCAAACGCCTGAAAGGCGGCACCAGCAAGTCCCAACACAAGCATGTTACAGCTCTACTGCAAAACTGGGACAGAGTCACCAAGGCGCATCCTGACCTGCGGGGCGTTCTGCTGTTACAGTCTGCATACTCCAACAGCAATGGATGGGCTAGAACGCACAATCTTGCCGGCATGGGCCCACTGCTGAAGGCTCTCTTGGTGGAGATAGTGGCATCCGCCGGCGGGCGGCGGGTGACGCCACGCATGGTTGCCGACATTGCGGAGGGGGCGACGGCGGAGAACTTGCAGTTCCTTTTGCGAGTTCTGGAGTTTTGTACAGCTGCCGAAGTCGTGGGGGGAAAGCCATGTTGAGATGATGATGAATGCTGTCACGGGCTGCAAGCTCG